TTTGTGTGAAGAATGCTGATATGAGATATAAAACATAAGGCATTGTCTGTTAACAGACAATTTGTTAACAAGTTGTAAACCTGACTGTAAAAGAGTCAGTGCCTCACCAGCTGTCAACCTCACCGCACGTCACTGCTCTTAACCAATGTGGTAGAGTATTATTAAAGTAAATAATAGCTGTTCACTTCTTCGGTTCTATTACACATGAACCAGGGAGTGGGTTTCTTTCTACTCTGAACCACAAATGCAGGATTACTCATAAAAGAAATGATGACGGACAAATAAATAAAGCCAGCGGTTAGTATGGAAATTTGAAGCTAACCGGCTGCCTGATTTGCTAATAAAAGAAACAGCTATTAAAAGTGTGGTGGTGAGAAATGTCACTAGCAGTATAGAAAAAAATATAGTTGTTAATGCACATCACATGCGATACATCCCACACTCATTGCACCACCTAAGTGACATGACACTGTAGTGCAGAAATTGGGTATGGCTCTTCCCATACCTCATTTCTTTGCAAACACTTAACTATTTTTTTTTTTTAACCATGCAACATGATTTGTAACCTTTGCATTATATGCAAGAGAAGCAGCTCTGTCTCAATTGTTAAATAAGACAGAAGGGGAGCTGACAACTCGAGGAGTTCAGAGGAGTTGATACTAATCATACGAATGTTGGAAATGTATATTTGTTAGTTTTGCTTTGTTGGTTTTATATGTATATATAAGTGCTTTTAACAGACTGCTCTTTCATACGGTTTTAACGTGGTATAGGCAGACACTGACACAGTAGCCGTCCCTGGTAGGCTAGTGGCATCCGGTGTAAAACACGTGCCAAATGTCAACATGCGAGTCGTCGGTGTGATGATTTGCTGTGGCCACCCCTAAACGGGAAAAGCCGAAAGTGACTTTCTATAGGCAGACACTGACACTGCCCCAGGAATTCTGCTGTTTTCAACTGTATATGCCACGCAGAGTGAAGCCTCCCAACAGTGTTTCTGCTTTACTGCTTCTTTTCACTTGCACAAAGCAATTACTTCAGCAAAGTATCAGTGACATAAAATTTGAGAGCAGCATTCATAATGTATGTCTTCAGAATGTACTTCTCGCCAGGGGGATAGCTCAAACAATTTCCTTTAAAACTCTATTTCCAAATGCTGCTTAGCCCACTTTTTCTAGCTGAGAGTGACATTTGGTTTTTAAAACCAACAGAGACAGGAACGATTTGTCTAAAAGCGATGCTGGAGCACCTGTAATCGAAGGCCAGCAGCCTCCCATTCTGCCTAAAGTCAGTGTTGCCACACTTCACTGTGTTTTACTGCTTAAGTCCAACAGATTCATGTGATTGAGGTGGAATGGAAAGGAGAAGCAGTTCCCCTTATAAAGGTAAAATATGTTGGCTGAGAACTGCAGTCAGCTTCTCTGGCAAGATTTCCTGAGTGGCTCCTTCTGCAGGGCTGTTTCTGTATATCACTGCCAGCCCCATTATCACAGTTGTGTATACCTGGGTAGTTACAGTGTCGTATCTGGCAGTCTCACTAAACTATATTAGGAATGAAGCCTGGTGTGTAGAGTGACCTCAAACAGGATTTGTTTAGTCACGTTTCTATTAATGTTCTGGTCTGTTAAACTTGTTACAAACACAGACTCCTCCAATACCAAACAGCTCAGTACAGTGTTTATTACCTTGACAACAGCTAGTGGATGAATTGACTTGAAATTTAGTACAGACAGTCATGGTCACCAAAGGATAAAGCCTACTGACTTGATGGTCCCCTGACATTTCTACTAGCACCACTGTAATTTCAAAATTATTTCACTTTTTCAATACTTTGGTATTTGACCAAATTCTTGTAAAACTCATGACATTCTCAGCCCCCTCAGCTGTAGTTGTGTTTAGGGCTAATATACCCATTATATCTGCTAAAGCATAAGCATGCTAGTGTTGACATTAGCATTAAGCTGTGTTTAAGTACTGCCTCACAGTCTTGTTTTTTCATAACCTTCCTTAACCATTAAATGGTAGATAGTTTAAATGTTGTATATCATTCGCTGAGTTGCAGTGTTTATGATGCAATTCATAGGACTTGAAAGTAACTATAAGCTTGCTATTGTTTCTCTAAGCAAATTATTTAGCCTGTGATTTGACTAGTGTATGTCAGCCTTTGTTGGAAGCAAGGTTTTGGAGGTCAGTGTTTATGTGATGTGTCGCCACATTCATGTAGTGGAAAAACACTCACATACAGTACTCAGCCTGTGAGTTATGGTAGATATTCTTTGATTTGTGGCCCGCACCTGCTCCTTTCTGCCACCAGGCTTGCAGAATTGATGCCCTCATACAACTGAGGCTCATATTCATTTGTTTCAGAGCAGAATCCACATGGCTCACATGCTTGTTACTACAGGAGCTACATGTGTGATGCCAGAGAAAACAAACCCTGATGCTGGCTGGGCATTATAAAGAAATGAAATTCAGTCTGTCACTGCGCCACGGAGTTTAGTGACCACCCAAACCTGTTTCACTTTCCTCCACTTTCATTTGACATATACTTTACATTATGACGGACATTTTTGTCAATTTTAGCCAGTGCATGATAGAAGCCTGTAGTGTTGTAGTGACGCCCGTCTCAGTGGTGAAAAGGTAAAGGACCCAGCATTATACATTTTGACTTAATCTAAGGTTCAGACAGATGGATGAACTTTGAAAGATGCATAAGCAGGCTTGACATTTACTTGTGAAATAAAAAAGTCTTTTTCTATTCCTGACTGCAACAGTCTGAATAAAAGTTAACGGTCAAGATAACGTTACAGGACAGTGGCCCTTAAATGATTCAGACACGCTCCTCTCTTTCTCTCCTTCTAGGCAGTAAAAGGGACCAGTGACAATAATTCTCACTGACAAGCCTATTACACATAACGCTGTGAAGTCTGTAGTTGCCAATATCCAGTGAAGAGGAGAGGTCTAGATTTAAGGGAATGGATACAAACTATGAGGTTATGTTCAACCACCTGTTCCCTGTGTTGTCACTATATCGGTTGATTCATATGTGCTGTAACTAATCACCTGTATAAAACTTTCTCTTCACAAAAAATATTACTTAAGTTATCTTGACCCTGCAGATTTTCACAAAAGACAAAAATATTGCTGAATTATTTTCTGTTGAGTTTTGTTAATGGTATCACATTCAGTATATCAGAACCTGAAATCAAATCAAATCTGAACCAGGTAAGATCTATGCTGCAACATTTTGCCCTGGAGCCAGCCATACATCTTAGCCTGCCATTTGGTAATTAATCTCATTTTGTGATTCCCATTGCTTACTCTTGTAGCCTCCGGTAATCTATAACTTTCTCTTGCCGGAAGTCTTCATTGATTCACAATAGACCAGAGAGGCACTCCAGCTGAAAGGAACCGTGTGTTTACTGACGATGCAGAGGCATTTGCCTTCACGGGACATTAGCATCTGTCTCAGTGAGCAAAGCTGGGTACAGAACTGATGAGCTGTAGTTATAGACATTTAGTTCTGAGGAAAACAAGTGTGAGCTGTGCAAAGCGCTGATGGCAGCGTTGTATACGCAGACAGCTTGAGAACAATGACAGAAGGAGAACCAGAACCCTGATGTTGAAGGTTTAGTGTTGGGAGTGCATGGCATACGTATATAGATTCATTGATGCATAGTCTGGTCCAGAGTCTGGTTTGAAGCATGTTAAAAATGACTGTACAAAGAAAGTGTTTTAATTCTGTCCCTGCCCCAATTCTGTCCCATTATTGTCAACAAATTTATCAATCATCTCGGAAAGGAATTGCGCTGAAAGTTAATTAAAAAGAGAGAGTGAAAGAAAGAAACCTGACAAAGAATTTATTTGTGAGCTTCCTACACTCACTGTTCTCTCTCTCTCCTTCCTACGCAGGAAGGAGAGAGAGAACTGTAAACTGTAATTAATAATGTCATGTTAGTTTTTCTGAGTGGCACTGCTGTTGGTTCCTTTCAGCGTTTCTAATGCATGCATGCACCTTGCACAGCCAGACGATTTGGCCACAACATTAAGAACCATGCATGTATAAACAAAAATTAAAATGTTTTTTTTTAAAAGCTTATACAAGGCCAACAAAAGAATTCACACATGTGGCTTTCCCAAGCATTTTATTCATTTTCAGTTGAGTTTCAAATCAGGGTACATTAAATCCATACAAAAACAACGTAAAGTAGTGAGATTCCCATGGAGTTGTGGTCTGGTTTAGCAGAGTGTCATACAGCGCTGCATCAGTGATGCTAATGTTTGGAACCAGCAGCAGTTGAATTAAAGATGCTTGAAACATAATCAACACAAAAGTGATGAACTGTATAAGTGACACCCCCTGCTTTGACTACAGATGAATTTTCCTAGACTGATGATATTGTGGCGATAGTATTTGTCTATCCCAGCAACATACCAGATGAGTTGGTGTTTCCAGCAGCTCTACTAATGTTAGCTACGGTGAATAAGCCACAAGTCACTTCTGTCATGTACAATAGATAAAGTATGTGTAGTGCCTTCTATGGACCCAAAGTCCACTGAGGGAAGGCTGGGGTACCCTGTTTCAGTTTACTCAGTAATGTTACAGGTTATTTACTGTTGAAGGCTACACAGTCCTTTTGATAAAGGAAACATGGGTCAAACTTAGTTTTAATTGTTGGATGTCCAACATGTTTAGTCTGATTTAATATGTTCTCCAGTGAAGCTTGGATGTTGTGTAGCATTGTTTGCTGCAGTATGCTTAATTCTTAGGTTTTTGTCAGGGGCAATTGTTAAATAGCAGCTGACAGGAGTGGAAACTCTGCAATTCGAAACAAGCAGCCATTATATTCTGTTGTTTAATTTGGAACTAAAGTAACTTCTTGTTTACTAAATCTGTTCTATTCAAGTCCTAATTTACTCTGATTTTGTGGCAATTAAAATAGCTTTATTATAGAAAAAAACACTTTATGAATTTTAAATAATTAGCGGTGTGTGGTGGTGTGGTGGTTGCCTCACAGCAAGAAGGTTCTGGGTTTGACCCCTGGCTGACCCCGGCCTTTTTGTGCAGAGTTTGTATGTTCCCCCTGTGCCTGCGTGGGTTCTCTCTGGGTGCTCCAGCTTCCTCCCACAGTCCAAAGACATGCAGCTTAGGTTGACTGGTGACTCTGAATTGCCCGTAGGAGTGAGTGTGGGTGTGTGTGGTTGTTTGTCTACGTGTCAGCCCTGTGATAGACTGGCAACCTGTCCAGGGTGGACCCCGCCTCTCACCCAATGTCAGCTGGGATTGGCTCCAGGCCCCCCACGACCCTCTTCAGGAATAAACAGTATGGATGGTGGATGGATGAATGAATGATGGTTAATGTGGCCAACTATGTATTATGTAAGTCAACAGTTTGAAATTTGCATCCCTAATTGGAATATTCTCTTAACCAAACAGCATGCATCATTCTGTTTGTTTAAAATGTGAGCAGAGGCTTTACTGTGTGGAAGAGGGATATATGGACAAACCTAGACAATAGGTAGTCACTTCCCACACTTAGTGTCATTATGGTATACAAGTAAAGACCTTTTCAGAAAAGGAGAGAGGAATTGTCACAAGTTTCAGATGTCTGGCTTTATGATCTGTGAATTGATATTAAAGAGCAATTTTCACAATTTTATTGTTTATTATAAAAAAATGGTGAGAACATTATAGTACAACAAATCCTCTCTATTTTAATTTTGTAAATTCTCTTATTGCCCATATTGTCAGCTCTATCTTCCTTTGCATAACAGTCCAATTCCACAAAACCCCCAGGTTGCTCGTAACTAATCACGCTATTTTGCCTGTTTGTGGCAACAATTCAGTCCACAATCAATGTCTATACATAATTACTAAAATGTAATTTTGTCTGACTAAATGGAAAAATTGCTCCTTAACAGAATTGGTTAACATTCCCACCCAGCTGAGCCCAGGGCTTGTTAGAGTTGCTATCAATCTCCTCGTTCTCATTCCTGCCTCTTTTAGCTGAAGGAGTGATTGGATGCAGTGTTTGTCGCCCTAGGGAAGGGAAAATGTGTTTTCCTGACTGCCAGTGAGCATGCTGGTGAGGAATCTGAGACCATCAGTGTGTTTTTCATTGGAATGAACCTTGTAACTGAGTGTGTGAAGTCCTAGCCTACGAGTGTTGACAAGCCCCTAACCTTGCCATCGCTGTGGGACAGAGGAGGGAAATAGATACAGAAAGATACATCTACTATATTTGCACTTGAGCCTGGTGCTGGTGAAGATCATACCGAGGAGTGCTCATTTGCCAGGCTTGCTTATTTTCCACAAAAAAGGGGAGTGAAGGAGACAGACTGAGAATTCCTAATTTACCCAAATCCTTAGCTAATCCAGTGAGTTCCCTAATCCTCTCTATTCCCAATGTAAGAAGCAGAAGGAGGGATACTGCTGGAGAGGCATTCGGGGGAAGAGAAGGAATTTTGCTTTACAATGAAAATTTGTTTTTGGACAAGAGCTGACATGAAAGACAGCAGCTAAACAATGATCAGGTATTATTTTAAAAAGCTGATGCTGCTGAATGACTAATTCAGATTATTAATAGCAACAAAATGCCAAGATCACACTGCTTCTGCAAAGAGCCTCCTACACTGCTGTACATTTACAGTATGCTTTATGTTTGATACAAAGGTGGCAGCCACATTTTTTTATTCTCATGTATTTCACCCTCTTTATTCATTCATTTATATTCTCACATGTAGTTAAAATGTCAGTGATAATTGAGAATGTCCTCTGTTTGAAGTGTGTGAAGTTTTTTCTTTTTAATCAAATTAACAAGTATTGAATGGATTATCATTACATGTAGCTCAATAATTATGCCACTCAAGATAAATTTAATTCCTTATCTTTAACTAGTGCCACCATCCAGTCAACATGTTTATTTGTCCAGTACTTTGGTTTATGACCAGATACCTGCAGATCGAATGACTTTCCCCTCAGCCTTAGCTTTGTTTTGCGGTTAGTGCCGTTTAGCAAATGTTAATATGCTGAAATGTTCAGCTAAGATAGTGAAGGATTAAACATTAGAGTGTTAGCAGTGTCACTGTGAACTGTTGTTAGTATTTAAGTCAAAGTACCACTGTGCCACGTAAAGCCTCACAGAGCTGCTAGAGTGACCGTAGGCTCTTAGGCTTTCCAAATAAAAAGCTGCTATCTTTATCCAAAGCTGCCACTTACTTTCACCATGACTTGATGTAGCTTAGTTAGTTAAAACAGAGCCATAGGAATTTCACTGCCAGGGTTTAGTTAATATTTGCAAACTTATTATTGTCTACTTTTTTATAAGTAATCCATGAAAAAAAACAATTTAGTACTGCTCTCATGCTCACTACTCATAAGTTGGAGCAGCTCAAACATTGGCAAGTAACATTTTCATGTCTTTTTTGTTGCACAGAAATTGACATTGAGCGCTGTGTCCGTGAGTCCATCAGTCTTTTCCGCTGGACTCCTAAGAGCGCTACATACCGACAACATGCTCAGTTACCAAAGGTCACAGGCGACAATGGCTTTGGGAAAACGGCAGCATTCTACTCGTCAGACTACCAGGACATGCCCAAGACAGACTTGGTGAGTCACCAAGAAGAATCTAATCTTCTTTAATTATTTCTTTCCTGGTGTCAGTGTGGTTTCTCTGTGATTTGTCTATATGTAGTTCTGTTTTGATGAAAAAGAAGGTAATAGTAAGGTTATGACAGGGTAATATACTTGTTTATATTAGGGCAATCTTTATTACTAATACTAAAAAGGTAATATTAGTGTAATGTCTTTACAGTCACAGTCAATTGCCATCAATAATTACCATATAATAATTCTGAAATTCCTCTTTCTTCACATTCCAAAAATTCTTTAAATGTAGAGTGACACTGGCACAATTAAATTTCAAATGCACTGATCAGTAATTTAAAATATCAATAGCAATGTCAGCAAACCACTTCAAATCTGCTTTCTTTATTATCTGTATCAATCCTATATCATGCATCATTTGTTTACATAGTAACTGGAAATGGTTTTTACTGTAGGATCTGTAGGACTACAGGATCTTTTCTAGGTCTTTTTCAGTGCTGTCTATACACCCAGGTTCTATACAGACATGACAAGTGATGTTACCTGCAGCTTTATAAAAGTTTTAACTTCAGACTGTTGCAAGTTCTTGCTGCTGCCACACACCTTCTTATTTGCATACAGAGGGACTTTACATATTACCCAATAACCAGGTTCTGTACAGACATGACAAGTGATGTTGCCTGCAACTTTATAAAAGTTTTAACTTCAGACTGTTGCAAGTTCTTGCTGGCGCCACATATCTTCTTATTTGCATACAGAGGGACTTTACATATTACCCAACAACCATTCTATTCACTAATCCACATCTGATTGTAAAGCAGCAGCTTGACTTCAGTAGACCTGTTAAGTTGTATTGACTTTTCATGTTAGATTGAGCTGAAAAAAAAAACTAGGAAAAAATCAACTGGACTAGATTTCTAGGTTGAAGACATTTCACCTCTCATCCAAGAGGCTTCTTCAGTTCTGACTGACTGGTGTTGGATGAGAGGTGAAACGTCTTTGACCTAGAAATCTAAGTCCAGTTGATTTTTTTTCCTAGTTTTTTTTCAGCTTATTATGACCTGGATGACTGAGAATCTGCACAGACATGTTAGATTGAGTTCCTCAGGAAACAAATGAGACAGTTTAATGCTTGATACAGTAAACGGCAACCTCGGTATTTAATTTTCAAAGTGGCCAAATATAATCATCCAATCCACCCAAAGTGCATTTAATTTCCAGTGGAGCGCTACTGTAGATATTGTCAAAAATGTTGTCCTTCATTCTATGATACAGGTATGTACATATATGAACAATTAAAAAATCTATATAGCAAACATGTACTATATGTGTCCAAATCAACTTAAAAAGTGTTAATACTTGTTTTGAGGAGTGTTTGTTGATGTGGCACTGTCATTCATACAGGCCAGTCCTGTTTATTCTGCTGTTGTGGTGCAGCCTTGTTCGTCTTTCACACCTGAATGCAGCTTGTCCAGAAAGAAGTGCTTACGTCAGGCCTATCTGATGTGTACCCAAGTGATTGCTGTAATCTTTGTCATTCAGCCGAGGTACATTTATATGGGTGGTGGCATTGATCCATGGCTGCATCTATCTGCACCCCTCTTATTCCTTAGAAAACACTGAGGCGGGCCTGCACTGTGTTAAAATGTCACTCTCATCACTAGTGTGACCACAGACACACACATGCAGTACACACAAAACCGTATGTACAGCATGACTGCACAGGAGAAATCCAGATAGGAAGTTGAATGTTGATCTAAAAATCGCTTTGCTCTTTACTCATCATTAAATGTTGGCAGAGATTTTCCTTTAACCTGAGAACTGCTGACTGAATTAAATTTTTTCACATATTTGAGATTCTCTGTTCAAGCCTTGGAATGTTTATATAGTGTGAGAAGTGATACAAGAGCAAAATTTAAGACTGTGGCTACAGCAAATAAAGGCTTATGGGACAGCATGCATACAAAATCTCTTCTTAGTTGCACCTATGATATATCACAAAGTAAAATCCTGTTATGAACTCCTTGATCAGAATAAACTAGCCTAATTTATTACATTTGAAAGGGTTGGTTTAAGTCTTTTCACCAGATTAAAATGTGGCATATGAAAACACACAAAGCCAATATGAACAATTCAGTTCAATTTATTTGTGTAGCACCAATTCACGATGACAATTGTCTCAGGGCACTTTACATAATCGGGTCTAGAGTTTCTAATATTATAAGGGAAACCCAACAAATCCACCTTAAGCACTTGGTGTCAATGAGGAATATAAAATAAAAGAAACCTCTGACAGACCGTGGCTCTTGGTGGGCAGCCTTCCACCCTGACCGGTTAGGCTGAGCATCCACTCAGAGGAGAGAGAAAAGGATAAAAGGACATGACAAGTTGATATGATGCCATGAAATATCAAAAGAAATAACATAACATGCTAAGTACCTTTCTACTTTCAATCACTGTCCTACTAGGATTATAATACTGTACAATATTATACAGTATCCACAATACAGTGGTGTGAAAAAGTGTTAGCCCCCTTACTGATTTCTTATCTTTTTGCATGTTTGTCACACTGTAATGTTTCAGATTGTCAAACAAATTTATATATTAGTCAAAGATAACACAAGTAAACACATCATGCAGTTTTTAAATGAAGGTTTTTATTATTAAGGGAAAACAAAATCCAAAACTATAGATCCCTGTGTGAACAAGTGTTTGCCCCCCTGTCAAAACACTGGTTTATCGCACCCGACCACCAGGCATTGAACTATCTTTTAAACGTCCATACCCGTAATTTGACAATACTTAACCCAGAAAGGTCCATAGACCTGATTTGTTTCAGTTCAGAGGCTGAGACAAGACTTTAGGCATGGTTCTTTCTTTGTGTTACTGGTGGATGGCTGTGAATGCCTAGTGGGACCTGATCCGGCTGGTTGGTCCCCGGCCGTGTAGCGGCTGAGAGGCAGCGATCGGCATGATGCTGAGCAGTGATCCAGGCAGTTTTTTGTCCAGCCTGACAGTTCACTGCACTTGTCATCCAAAGTGTAGAGTGGTCTGCTGCTCGAATATAAGTGACAAGACAGAAAACAGGCGCCGAGTACTACAGCCTCTGTGTACAGCACTCAGATGTTATTGTATCGTTCAATGACTCTGTCAGCAGTTGGTGGGCTCCAGGGATGCTGAGAGTCAGTGTACATTCCAGTTTCATAGGATCTGCTGGTCATCGACGTGCATGTTTGGTGATGTATAATTGTAGTGATCTGCAACATTTTGTTCTAGTTCTACAATTCCAGTCATAATAAATCAAAGCCATCTATCAAAAATATAGATAAACATATCTTTAATATATGGCTTTGACTCATTTTATTGTCACAAAGTAGGAGCCACAGTGCACAGAGGTGCCTCAACACACACCTGAAAGGATATTTTTCATGTGGGACAGCTTCACAGCTGGTTCACAGACTTCTCCACCCAAAACAGTTCATTGAAGAAGACTGTCCAATGC